GTGTGTGTGTGTGTGTGTGTGTGTGTGTGTGTGTGTGTGTGTGTGTGTGTGTGTGTGTGTGTGTGTGTGTTCCCGGTTGTCTGATTTCCTGATTGAGGGCTCGGTGTGCTCTCTCCGTCGTGTTCGGCCCCCCCTGACGCTGTCAGTCAGCAAAGCAGTCGGCCAAAGAGCCCAGATTAATCTAAGGGGAGGTAATTTGATCAAAATAATTTCTGTAAGTTCTTTTTTTTGGCCTTTTAACAAAATATGTAAAAAGAAAAAATGGAAATACATTTTTTATATTAATAATTTATTACTATGCGATAAGTCAAGATTATTATTTGTTTAGTCTTCTGCCCCCTGTTATCAGGTGTATCTGATTGTGTACAATGGGATTTTGAGCAAAGTTTTTAACATTAAATTATGCAAAAGGTGTCAGACGCAAAACATTTCAGAAACCGTATCAATAAAATATGATACATTTTGCATTACAGGGATAAATTCAGATTGCAGCGATGTACAATTTCCCCGAAATACTCTGATACAAATAGGGATAATTAGCTTTTGAACTGACCGGCCTTGTGTGTTTTGCTTCCAGATGCGTTTCTATCTCCACATGTCTGGGGACGGTATCGGGACCCTGAGCGTTTTCACCCAAACCAAAGGCGGGCTCCACCTCCGGCTGAACCTGACCGGAGATCAGGGAAACTTCTGGCAGATGAAGGAGCTCCCGCTCAGCAGCCCCGAGGACTTCCGGGTGCTGCTGGAGGGCCGGGTGGGCCGAACCGAGAAGGGCGACATCTGCCTGGACGACATCAGCTTCTCCCCCGGGTGCCTTCTGGCCCCTTTAGCCACCAACACAGACACCAGCCTCTCTCCTACTGCAGGTACAAGCCATTCCTGCTCTGATTTTAAGCAGATTTTATGTGTAATGGCTGTCTTTTGCCAGGTTTTCTCTCTCGAGACTTATTGGGTACATCATAAATCATATTAACTCATTGACTGGCAGCCATTTTCAGAACAGAGTCCCATACTGCCAGAGTTTTTTTTAGCATTTTGACTGATTTTTCAAGAGCCACAGAATAGTTTGTGCTATGACTATGTAAACATCGAACACACCAAAAGAAAGAGTAGACTCTCTTCTTTCATCAGGAAAAAAAAAATTGTTTCTACCTTATTCCGTTCTTCCTCGACTTGCGTCTCACCGGCGACATGTTCTCTCATAGCGAACCGTTAGCTTTTTCTTATTTGCCTACAGTCTATGCTCATCTCCCATCAAAAGTGGCACTGCCCCCTAGAGGGGGCAGTGCTCTGTCTAGAAGCCTGATATTTACGGACAAGCTTTAGCAGATCGTCCCCCAGCCACTCTCGTTTAAAAACATAAAAGACCTCTACAGACGTCTTTGGCAGCCAATGAGTTAATTGAAATCTTACTCAGTGTACATATTGATTTTCTTAATGCATATTCCCTTTTTTAGCATGGCAGTGAACCTGTGGGAGTCTGTTCCTATATCATTCAGAGGGAAAATTCCCTGAAAAAACCCTAATGTATGGTTTATTATCATATTTAGTGTCCTCATTCATTATGCCTAGAGAAAATATAGCTAGGCAATTATCTAAGTGATCAACTGACTTTTATACAGAGCTAATAGCAGTAACTAAAAGCACTCACAAAATAAAACAATTTATGCAAAAATGTAGTCGATATATAGATTAAACATTTTTAATAAACCACTGATAGTGTAATCTAACTTTTCATCAATGGAGAAAAAAGATGTACACTTTGATTTTGCTTATGTTTTATATTTAAAAGCAAACAGCAGGAAATGTGCCACTTTATTCCCTCAGACCCATTTTCCACCTTCAGTTCTGAATAAAATACCAGAGATTCAGAGAGAAAATTCCCAGAAAAAACCTAATGTATGGTTTATTATCACATTTAGTGTCTTCATTCATTATGACTAGAGAATATATAGCTAGGCAATTATCTAACTGACTTTTCTACAAAGCTAATAGCAGTAACTAAAAGCATTCACGAAATAAAACAATTTATGCAAAAATGAAGTCGATAGATAGATTAAACATTTTTATTAAAGCACTGATTGTGACGTGTGACAAGTCTCATCCTGTAATCTAACAATCTAACATTTCATCAACATTTTCATGGAGAAAAAAGCGGTACACTTTGATTTTGCTTGTGTTTTCTACACGCCAAAGGTGGCAGGAAATGTGCCACGTTATTCCCTCAGACCCATTTTCCAACGTCAGTTCTGAATAAAATACCAGAGATTGGCAGAACAGCACATTTAGCCGATTTTGTCCCGAACAAAAATGGCGTTTCTCAAACTGGGGGTAAATTTTCAGACACTTTTACTGCAGACATGTGGGCACAGGTGCACCACAGGTGTCACCGGTCAGCATCGTTAATCCCACCTGGGCTTCTGTGACGAGAGTCTATTCTTTATACGGTCCAATAAAATCCAGCGAGCGCTGACCTTTGACTGGAAATAGGAACCAAACAACTTTTCGTAGTGGTTGGTTAAACCCACTGTCTTCACCCTGGAAGAAATCCCAGTTAAAAGCTTCCTGAAGCCGTTATCAAATGACAGCACACTGCACACGCACGTTTAAGGAGAAAACGGGAAGATTCGGTTGTTTTATTGCTGCTTTAGACAGACCTGGGCATTTATAATGCTCTTAAAATCCCACAGAGTGTCACAGACTTTATTCCCTTTTTCTTATTGTCATTTAGAGGCCGCACAGCTGTTTCCGTTTAGGACAATTTCATCACATTTTAACACATGTGACGCATGTGACTGTTAAATGTAAATATTTTCCAGATTTATTAAAGATATCACTACTAATTAGCAGCTCATAAAGAAAGGAGAATTATATTTTTCATGATTAACCTCAAACTAAAACTGAACTGACAGGCCAAAACATGCGTCAGAATCTGAAATCTTTTGTTAATAGGTTTAAATATGAAGTTAAATGCTGTTAAATATAAGTTTAGCATAGCGTTAGCCAGGATGCCGGATCATCATTGTTTGTATCTATGCTTTTTCTCAGGATTTCAGCTGTTAGATCTCTTTTATATTCACTATTTTTAGGGGCACTCTAAAAACTACAAGGCACAAATAAGAGCTGATAAGAGGTGACTGTTAAATGTGAATATTTTCCAGATTTATGAAAGATATCACTACTAATTGGCAGCTCATAAAGAAAGATGAATGCTATTTTTCATGATTAACCTTAAAATAAAACTGAACTAATGTGTACTGACAGCCCAAAACATGCGTCAGAATCTGAAATCTTTTGTTAATAGGTTTAAATATGAAGGAAAATGCTGTTAAATATGAGTTTAGCATGGCATTAGCCAGGATGCCAGATCATCATTGTTTGTATCTTTGCTTTTTCTCAGGATTTCATATGTTAGATATCTTTTATATTCACTATTTTTAGGGGCACTCTAAAAACCAAAAGGCACAAATAAGAGCTGATTTGCTGCCTTTGTCACTGCGTATAATGAGCTTGTTCTTCCCCTCTGTGGAGAGGAGAGAATTGCTTGCTTCTCAGCAGAGAGAGAAGAAACTTTAACCCTATAATGCCAAATGTGTCATATCTGATACGGTTTCTGAAGTCTTGTGGATCTGAGACTTTTTGCATCATTCAGTGGTAAAAGCTTTGCTCAAACCCCTGTTGTACACATTCAGATATACCTGATAACAGCCAGTAGAAGACTTCACCAAAATACATTTTTGACTTATTGCACGCTAATTTGATCAAAATAATTTCTGTTTTTTTTCTTCATATGTTGTTGAGGGGCCAAATAAAAAGACTTCAGACTAAAAAATCCAATATTCTTGCTATTTTTCTTGGATCGGGCTTTAAAGGGTTAACACAAAAAGGCTTTTTCAGCTGCAGGGTGATGCATGATAGTCGTCACACAGCTCCGTTTATCACCTCTCACCGCTCCCGTATCTGGAGCCTCTCAGTATTAAAGCCTGCTCGCGCTGATTAATCTCCAGTGGAAAATGATCATCGATCAGCCACCGGTGTGCAGCAGAAGTCCCGTGAATTGACAACTCAGGCAGTCGAGTTAATGGATATTTGTTCCACCAGAGGAAGAGTCAACTGCACTCTTTGCTTGGAAACTGTTATTTCAGACTGGTTAAGATGTCCACCATTAAACATTCTGCCGACTGTAAAAACACAGAAGATGAATATTTTAAAAAGGAGTGCAGAAAACTTTCTTATCAAAGTTGCACTTTAATAAGAAAGTTAGAAAATGTAGTTTCTCCTGCAGTTGGTGAATAATCCAGTGTGTTCTTTGGACTGAAAGTACCAGGTGGATCAAATATATATATATGTATATATATATATAAGAGCAGGAAAAGAACATTTTTTTAATAAATAAATGAGGGTGGAAATACGGATGAGTTTAACAGAGGTGAAATTGAGAATGGAGAGGTGTGAAATATTGCTTAAAGGTTGAATCTAACTGCCCTCACAGTAAGTGGGCTTCATTCTACTGTTAACAAAAAGGTGGAAAGAACCTGCAGAGCATGAAAAATAACCCCGATTAGACCACAGAGCAGGAACTGTAATTCTCCACCATTTTCATTTACCCATCATTTCTTAATATCTTGATTAACCCTATAATACCAAATGTATCATATTTGATTCATACAGTTTCTGAAATGTTTTGCGTCTGACACCTTTTGCATAATTTAATGGTAAAAACTTTGCTCAAAAGCCTATTGTACACAATCAGATACACCTGATAACAGGGGGCAGAAGACTACACAAAAAATTATCTTGACTTATCGCATAGTAATAAATTATTAATATTAAAAATGTATTTTTGTTTTTTCTTTTTTACATATTTTGTTAAAAGGCCAAATAAGGAATTCAAACAAAAAAAAGTAATTTTCTGTTTTGTTTTATTCTTGGATCAGGCTTTAAAGGGTTAAGATTTGTTCATATTCCTTTAAAGTGGACCTGAACAAAAGCTCACGTCAGTCTCTCACGTCCTCTAAAGTTAAAAAAAAAAGTTGTCTTGATCGTTAATTGTGGAGAGCCTTGATGCCTGAACTGTTCCTATACAATCTTTAGAAATGAAGTAAGAAATTAACAGCAAAAAAAAAATTAATTTCTCTGATAAGAATCATTTAATTTAATGAAATGTGGTTGTTCATTATCCATACACCAGGGGGCAGTGTTCCTCTCGGCAGTTACCCATGTTAGATAATATGTCATTAATAAGGATAAATTATTTAGTTTACATTGAAAAAGAAATAGTTGTAGGTCGGTTGCGTCTGATGTGCTAAAAGTTGGATTCTGCAAATGTTAAATTGGGTCCTTTTATTTGAAAACTAAACCTTCCCTAGACTTCAGAGGGCAGTGAAGTAGCTTCCTGGCCTGCCATGTTCCTTTGTTGGGGCACATTGATTCTGCTCCTGTGCCTCTGAAGAGAGGAACAAAGGATTAGGAAGGATTTATACCCCCTTTCTGTGCTTTAATTACGAGGACCACCCCTCTTCATCACGCCTCATCTCCCATTCTAGCTCTCCCCAAAGCCAGGCTTTGACTCTACTGGAATTTTTGTCTCAAAAAGAAGCAAAAAACTAAACCCCCCTCAGCCAGTGATACAGTGATCTGGGTTCACATGCCCGGGCTCCTTTTGTCTTCCATAAGCCTCTTAAAGAGACCCCGATGCTGCATGCAAATGGTCCTCCTACTCAGCAGTTGACACTCAACTTGTGTTGTGGTATTTAATCTGGCAGAACACACAGTTGTTTGACAGGGAAAATTTGTCGAATTTGTACACATAGTTCCCATCTTGCAGGAACAGTCTGACTGGTGTAAAAAAAGCGTGTTAGCTCTCATTCTGCTGAAAAAAAGCACCACCCTGGATATGTTTTGTTAAATGTTGGAACACAATCACTGTGATTATCTGTCAGTAATTATCACATTGTCACTTCATTTAAATGCAAAACAAAAGTGTTGAAACTTTAGTTTGGAGCTTCATGTGTTCAGCTTCTTCTTGAATGAGTAAATAGACCTAAAACGATTATCATAGTATCATTATCCTCAAGAAGATTGCAGCAAATAAGCTTCAAATGGGAAATTGTTCACCATCGATGTTTCTACAGTGACCCTGAGGAACCCTGTCTGGACTGAAATGCTTTAAAGGGGACATATTATGCAAAACCAAGTTTTTAACCATTTGATTATGTGCATTTGGGACTGTGGAGGGCCTATCAGCAGGAAAAGTGTGAAAAAAAAGACTTTTTGTGGGCTCCTGGATTCAGTCTGAATCCAGGAGATAAATCAGGAGGTTTCAGGAGTGGGTAGTTTCTGACGTCATTAGCTCTAGCTCATTATAATATTCCAGCCTTTCACCTGCATGTTGCCCCCCCCTCAGCTTACTCCGCCTATTTGTGGCAGACGTCGTGGTAGCGTGAGCGTTAGCATGGTAGCGTTAGCATGGTAGCGTTAGCGTGCCGACGTGGGCACACCTCCCGGAAGAAGTGGGTGGATTGCCTGTGTCTCATTTACATTTAAAGAGACAGGCCATGGTTCTGCTCAAGGTTTCTGCCTCTTATAAGGAAGTTTTTCCTTCCCTGTGTCGCCTAGTGCTTGTTCTTGATGGGAATTATTGTTCTTTTGTAAATAACTTCAGGCACTCCAAAGCGAGCGCTCTGAACGGGGCTGTTTTGGCAGGGTTAGGGTTAGGGTTAGGGTTAGGGTTAGGCAGGGGGACTGAACT